AACACCTAAGAGCTGTTACAAAAAATTTCGATAAAGGCTCAGCTGGCGTAACAGATTTTGTACTAGAAAACCAAATTTAAAACAGTTTTGTGTGAAGGTGAAGATTGAAATTATTAGATAAATTAATTCTATGCTATTATGAAGTCATTTTAGTTCTTTAATAATATTGAAGATTTTAAATATTATTATTGATAATGGTATTATTGTTGTACTCACCATAATTATATGTTGCCATTACTGATAGTATCATTATAATTATTATATAAATTGCCGATTACCCACCATACTGACATCGAGCTCCTTGAAAACCAAGTGGGCAATGGCAAATTTCATTTTTCGTAACGAGCTTGTCCGGCTGGCAGTAGCCACCGTTGTGGCACAAATCTGGTGTGCAGTTTGCTGAAAAACGCGTAATATGAAAGACTGAAACAAGTAACTCTTTAAAATGGGACTAGATGCTTTCGCTTCGATAAAGATACAGCCGGTGTCAGTAAACAAAATAACGGGTTAATGCATAGAAAAAGTCTTTCGTTGCTTCTGCGTTGTGATTTATGTTCAGAACCTGAATTCACGTTTTCCCCATTACTAGAATCCGTGCTTTTGAATTACTACTTGCAGTTTCGATACGCATACAACCCATGCGATCCCCATTATGCTTAGCATCGTATGTATATTACTCATTACTTGAAATGATAAATTAGGCTCTCCACTGTATTATTACCGGTTATAAATTGTATAGCATCATAGGGGCGATATTAGTCCATTGACAGGTTTTGGCAGTGCCTGGATGAGGAATTTTACTAATGATCAGCTGAAATGCGAGTTCAAAATTATTGAATTTAGACAATTTACCCCGCTGACATCCCTCCTGGCCAGGCACATGCATCCATCCAGCACAGCATTTCGCAGTAGTGTGTCTTGTCGTTCGATTCACGTTTTTATATGTTCGGTAATACATAACCCTCAAAAAAACCAGCTTTACATTGGAACACAATGCGTTTTCGGTGTCGATTACTAGTTTTTTTTTAAATTTTACTTCATGATTTTTTCGCCACTTGATTTTTGGGTTGCGAAGCTAGTACAGATTTGCATTCGATAGGGATCCTCCGTACGTTCACGTGAAACTTGATATGCGTTCGCAACCAAAGGGCTAGAGGGCTAAAATTTTCTGAACACGGTCCGCAGTTGTGTTTGTTGGGATGCTTGTGATAAATGTGACAACATGGTGACCATTCTCAGTTTTTCTATCAGCCTAACGGAGACGGGGAAA